CACCTAGGTGTTGCGAGTTCTTTCTTCTACAAATTTCCTTATGTTTCCATAGCAGTTATTTTGTTGACAATTTATTTCATTATCAATATTACTTTCTTTATTTATAATCAGGCGATAGCAATCTAATTTATAAAAAACAATGATTATCAATTAATTGCACTGTGGAACATGACAATTTATTTTTATTGAAAACGTAAACAATGTGGACGTTAATTAAGTTCAGCGATGCAATATTTGATCTTTTTAATCGCGAGTTCTGTCGATTCATCGTCAATGTGATGATAAACGACGTATCTAATGCAATTCCATTCATCTCTGGCGCAAACCTTAATGACGACGCCGTTACCGGACTTATCAGTAATTCCTTCTGATAATTCTTCAGGAGTGATCTTTTGCAGGCGTTCCACAAAATATTTGGCCGAGTATTTTTCCGATTTTAGTAAATGAATCATGCAAATATTGGTTTGAACCTTATTAATCTCGACTGTAATGAATGGGCTCTTCGAATCATAAATGGCCTGGGCAATTTGCTTTGTGTGACGATGATCGTCACCCAATTTTGGTACGACCTCCCTTAGAGCAACCAGACCAGCTGCTGCCAATACTCCAACTTGACGCATTCCACCACCCAAGGCCTTTCGAATGCGACGAGCTTGACGAATAAAATCTTTGGATCCCAACAAAACGGATCCAATTGGTGCACACACTTTAGTCAAGCAAAAGGTGAGAGAGTCAAAATCGCGAGCAATTCGCGAAACAGGCACATTTAAATATTTGGCAGCATGGAAAACACGAGAACCGTCCATATGTAATTTAATCCCTTCACTCTTGCAGATTGAGGCCAATTTGTCGATCCATTCTAACGGAACCACTTTTCCCCCAGATATGTTATGCGTATTCTCAACTACAGCCATAGTGGTGGTGGGCTCATGTATTTCGTCGCTTCCACGAATTTTCGACCGAAACTCATCCAGCGAGTAGGTGCCATCTTCGTTATTCGGAATTATATCCAATGAAACACCAGCTATAGTCGCTGCTCCACCTATGAATTGAGAAAATAAAATTATCATTATTTGCATTGGAAAAGTATGAATGTGAAATTGTGCATCATTAAATTTTTTTTCCATCAATAGGATCACTCGAATGTACTTGATTGGTTTTACAATATTTGTGTGATATTTTTTACATTTTTGCTAAACAGTACCTTGTTCATATAGATATACATGGGATGATCCTCCAACGATAACTTCACAGCCTCGTTGATTACAGTGCACCATTATTGAAATGAGATGTCCCATTGTCCCACTGGATACAAATAGGGCTGCCTCTTTCCCGAATAATTCGGCACATTGTCGTTCGAGCTTTTGAACAGTTGGATCTTCACCAAAAACATCATCTCCAACTTCTGCATTTGCCATTGCCCGACGCATTTGCTCGGTTGGTTGGCTTACGGCATCTGAACGAAGATCGATTACCGTTTCAGTTGATCGATGGCCGTTTGTATATTTATTTGAATACATTTTTACACGAAATTTTTAGCACGATCCACAACACTGATGCTAACTGTTTGCCGCTTCAAAACGAAATGAAAGTTGTTTACGGCTGCAACAATGGTAGAGAAAGTGAAAATAAAACACGTCTGGTTTAGTTGGAATGTAGACTTTATCTAAGAGCGTTTATTCCGCGCGCACACACTATCGCTAGGTGTAACACGCAGCACCTGAAGTTGGTCACAATTACAATCATTTATGAGGCGCGCGTTCGGGCCAAAAGCCCAACTGTAACCCACGCCATCTAGCGAGATAAAACTACTTGTCTAAAAAGTGATTTTCAGATTATAACATTTAAATACTTTGATTGCATACTACACATACATTGAGAGCGTTAACGAAACGCGATTTCACACAAACGACATTAACTGAGTCAATTGGTATTTATGCTTTCAAGTTCCATTGTAAGATTAAAATTGGTCGTTGCTTGTTAATACCAATCATATTTCATATTTAAACGAAGAAAAAAAATTCCGATATGAAGTGTGTTTACTTACGATTTACTTTGAATGATATGAGATAACATTGATGTGATGAAAAAACACATATTGTTTACGACTGGCGCCATCTGTGAAACTGACATAACAGAAAGAAATGGCTTGGCTGTCACATTCATTGCATTGAGGTTAACTTGAGTGTCAAATGAAAGCATGTGCACCGTTCTGTTTACTGTTTGATTGAATTTGAAACGTGAAACACGTTTGATAATAATTGAAAACTAGTTAAAAATGGGGAAAACGCGTAAAGTAAGTTTCAAGAATGAAATTCGAGCACAGGATAAAACACCACTGGACGAACAGATTTTGTCCGGTAAAGTGGTGCGTAGCAAGAACAAAGTGAAAATTCGTCTTCGTGCCGAAGAAGAAGATGTAAGTATACATGCGTTTTGAATTTGTCTTATTCAAAGACTCAAATTTAAATGAATTTTCTGCACATTTCCAGTACGTCGATGCTCGGTCAACGCAAAAAATTCTGCAAGCAGCCCGTGCTCAACAAGCCGAAGTTGCATTGGATTTGGGTGGACCATCGTTGCACGACTCAATGCGAAAGAGTAAAAACAAAGCACGACTCGGTTCACGTTTGAAAGATGACGATGACATGTCGGACAATGAAGACAAGCCAGATGTCACGGGTCAAGACTTTTTTGATGATATGCAAATCGACGAAGAAGACGAAAAGGCATTGAAATTATTCCAGAATGAATCGGGCACAAAATCACGTAAATTGGCCGATATCATTGCTGAAAAAATCGCCGAAAAACAAACCGAACTCCACACACAGCTATCCGATGCGGGCACATTGAAAATTGAGGATTTGGATCCACGTGTGAAAGAGATGTATGACATCAATTTGAAGATTTATTGTTTGTTCGCATGTTCTAAAGTTAACCAACAACTTTTCTCTCTCTCTCTCTCTAAAGGTATGAAGGTGTACGTGATGTGATGAAACGATACCGCAGCGGTAAAGTGCCAAAAGCCTTCAAAATCATACCAAAACTGCGCAACTGGGAACAAATTCTGTACATAACGGAGCCACACAATTGGAGTGCGGCTGCAATGTACCAGGGCCCGCGTATTTTCAGTTCAGTTTTGGCCCAACACATGGCACAGAGATTCTAAAATTTGGTGTTGCTTCCGCGTATTCGAGACGATTTGGGCGAATACAGCCGTTTAAATGCACATTTGTATGCAGCTCTGCGTAAGGCTCTGTTCAAGCCGGCCGCATTCATGAAAGGTATCATTCTACCATTGTTGGAATCTGGTGATTGCACACTTCGTGAGGCCATCATCATTGGCAGTGTAATCGCTCGCAATCAAATCCCAATACTGCACTCGTCCGCATGCTTACTGAAAATCTGCGAAATGGACTACTCTGGTGCTAATTCGATTTTCATTCGCATCTTTTTGGACAAACGGTATGCACTACCATATCGTGTTATCGATGCAGCTGTTTTCCATTTCATTCGATTCGAGCACGACAAACGTGAAATGCCCGTGCTGTGGCACCAAAGTTTGTTGACATTCGTTCAACGGTATAAAAACGATATCTCATCGGATCAAAAAGAAGCACTATTCGCCTTGCTACGCAAACAGACCCACTTCAAAGTCACACCAGAAATTAGACGCGAATTGCAAGCGGCTCGATGTCGCGACGAAGAAGCGATCGAACCAATCGATAAAGATTCACCTGGTGCAATGGCTGTCGATATTCCTGATGTCAATCTAGATGATGACTACAAAATGTTTGATTGATAGGCTGGACACTGTTTTTGATTTAGATTTAACATGCATACTGAGTTATCGGTATATTTTTCACATTTCTTCTTGTTATATAACATTTAAATAAATATTGGTAAATAAACTATCGTCCGTTTGAGCACACGGCAAATTAGTCTACAACGAAAATCTATTGGAATTATATTCTAATAAAATTGTTTAATTTGGCTAAAATGTTCGAATGCTTTCGCATCGAATGCAATTCTTTGGCTGTATTTTTGGTTTAATCTCGTAAATGGTTGAGAAGATAAATATATGAATAAATAAATAACAAAACGTCAAAAACAATACATATCCATGGATGAATGCAATAAATAATATGATAAAACTGATTTTCTTGTTGAAGTGAATGTTTTGTGCACAAAAGTTTATGCGTATGATTGGGAGAATATTGATTTCCCGAAGATTCACGATTTTCAATCATAGAAAATTGATTTAAGCCCAAACACGAAGTGTATAATCCCAACTGCCGGTCGAGAGAGCTGTACCATCCGGTGACACCTGAACACATGATACTTTGTTCTCGTGGCCGTACAACAAGCAAACTCGCTGCTGTTTTAGCGTGTCCCAAATATTGACGGTGTAATCATTGTAGCCGGCGAACAATAGACGTCCACTCACCGAAAAGTCAACTGAATTCACACCGAAAATAATGCTATCCTTTGCATAAATGGCTACCTCTTTATCGGCTCGCATGTCATACAAACGGCACTGTAGAGAAGAAAATGTGTGAGTTTTTGAAATTCCATCTGTGTTGTTATTAAATTTCCAAATTACCGTGCTATCATCGGAACCAGTTGAAATGGCATCACCACTTGGATGAAATTTAACACTGTTCACATCGGATTGATGTCCCTCAAACGATTGCACCACTGATCCCGAACGCATGTCCCAAATGAAAGCCATTTTATCGCAACTCTGAAAATTTTTCGGAAATGTTTAATTTCGATCGAATTTTGGCTTAGGAAATCCATTCGTTGACATAGAATTGGTGACTTACTCCCGACACAAATGTGTTTCCCGTTTCATTCGGTGCCAAATCAATTGACATCACATCACCGGTGTGTCCATGGAAACTTTGCAATAACTGACCCGATTCAACATCCCACAATGCGCAAGTGGAATCACCGCTACCTGTTAGAATTTGTTGGTCCGAATTGGGGAAAATGCAGCATGACGTGTAGCTTGTGTGCGTGCCCACAGTTTTCTTTTTTGATTGCATCTCATCATCCGAATTGACGGGATAAACTGTGACCTTATTGTCGAGACCACCGCAAGCGATTAAATTGCCTGACGGTGCATATGCACAAGTCATAACCCATGTTGTTGGCATTGTCACTGAATGCTCTTTGCTGGTTGTAAATGCATCCCAAACAATCAGTTTACCGTCTTGTGATGATGAAACAATGTGCCTTTTGTCGGGTGACCAATCGGAGCATAGCACCTTTGCCTGGTGACCCTTCAGCACACGTTTACGAATTATCACACATTCGAACGCCGTGGAAAGTTTTTGCTGCGTTTTCATTTTGCGCTATAAGTCATCTTGGAATTAGTTTCTCTGTACTTTGTGACTGATTAAACAAAATTTATGCAAACCAACTGGAAAAAGTGTGCACCAAACGATATAAATGCTGCTCACATCCAAAATCATCAGTCCACTGCTAATACACACGTCAAATCAAAAGGCATGATGTTGGCTTTGTCTACCGATTCACATTATCCACCGCCGTATTGTTACTGATGTGCAAAAGCTTGCAGCTATGACGAGCCATAAAAACTTTTCGTTGGCAACGGCCTAAAAGCTGAACGAAAAAAAAGTGTATCCGTTTCTGCTCAGCAAATGACATGACTCAGATGTTTGTAATTAATAATGTGGGCATTATTTCGGCTATTGTTAAGCCGAGCGAATACGAAATACGAAGGACAACAACGAAATCAAGCCGAACGATTTGCCTCACAATATATCGGACAGTGCTCACCGCACTGACTCTCTCTCAATGCTCTGTGTTCGAACGGGAAATATAGAGACAGAACGGAAATATCATACAATCGGAGATGAAGGAAAATAATATTTTCCATGTTGTG